ACTGAGGTTATTTAAATGAATTGCTAATGTTGGATGGTTGTCATCATACACACGTTCGTCAATATCGAGTGCTCTTTCAATGCATTTCTTGGCTTTCTCGTACTGTCTGAGATCTTGCAGCACCAAACCGAGGTTATTTAAATGTATGGCTAATGTTGGATGGTTTTCATCATACAGACGTTCGGCAATATCGAGTGCTCTTTCAATGCATTTCTTGGCTTCCTCGTACTGTCTGAGATCTTTTAGCACCAAACCGAGGTTATTCAAATGTATGGCTAATGTTGGATGATTGTCGCCATATTGTTTCTTGTCATAAGCAAAGGATTTTTCCAAAAATGTTTTTGCTTCTGCATAGATCATATGATGATAGTACACCATTGCAATATTGTTGAATATTCGACCCCTAAATGGAAAATCTGGAGTTTTCTTTTCGATGAATGGAAGTGCTTTCTTTATACATCGTTCGGCTTCCTGCTTTTTTCCGAGTTCGTTACAGGAAAGTGTCATCCCAAGATTAGTCAGTGCGCGTAGGCATAAACTACTTGTTTTGCTGATGTTAAGATAAGCATCATAATCACCACCCAGTGCTTGTTCGAAGCAATATTTTGCCTTCGTGAATTCTTGAAGATCATAAAGAATTTCTCCAAGTGCATTTCGTTCTGTCAAAAGATCGATGCCAGTACAAAAGTTTTCTTTCATTGTAATAGACATTTCAAGATATTTTCTTGATGATTCTAGCTTACCATTTATGTAACATATCTTACCAATTGAGCACGAAATACATTTTGCTACCTCAAGTGTTCTTTCTTTATTCATGCCTACAAACAAGCTTGAATGTACGATTGTCTGCAAAGTTAGAAAATGTGGAATAAGACACTTGGTACATGTTATGAAGTCATAATCCGGCTCTTCATCATCTTTAATAGTTAGCTGAGAATGATAGAATCACATTTGCCAGACTAAGACAATCCCCTTCAACTGTATATCTTACGTTTTCTTGTAATGCAGCATATACAATTTGATGAACACGGACATCTTGGCCATCATCAGAGATGAGAACGAGAGAAGAGCGGGCAATGTGAGCTTGTATAAGGTCTTTGTCTTCCTCTGGCATACACAGGACAACATATTGAGCAACGTACTTAATCGGTATTGGATCCAGGGCAAGTACTGACAATATCTGAAATGCAAGCATCATGACATTATCTTCCTTGGCCACCCTATCTAAAGCCATCTTCACAGCTGTAGCCATCGATTGTGAATAGACTTGAACGTTGGTATCGAGGTACGGTTTTTCTGTTTTTCCGTGTTTTCCTTCTTTGATCTTTGTAAGACATTTATGCCAAGTAACGGCGGTGTCATGTTGATTGACTAACTTCATGTAGACAGCAATACAGGCAAGAGCTAGTGGTTGAAAATCAAGTGCTTTTGCAATTTCAAGCACCACGTCTTTACCTTGATATTGTTGTGAGATAGCACATACAGCATTTAAAGCATCGTCATGTTCCATTCCTTTACTTAGAGATTCGTGGTAGACTTCAGAACTTGCAGGAGGAATCGCTTGACTGTCTTGTGTAGTAACCAATATTTGTCCTTTTCCTGTTACACTTTGTCCTAGATTAGGGAAAAACGCTGATGTCGTCTTAAGATCTACCACGTTATCGACGATTATTAACCACGAGGAGAAGAATGCTAACTTAGAATTAACGAGTCCAATAAAATACAGAATTTTATCCTCAGGTCGTGAAATGGTTCTCGATGATACAGTGCTTTGAATGGAGTCTTCGTCTATTCGGAGAAAACGAGAAAAGTTAATGTACGATCTCAGTAGTGTGTCTACGCTGGACGCATTTAGTGTGAATACAAATGTTTTCGACGAAGCACTCGCTGTTTCATAAAACACCTTTTCGCCAATTTGTCTTGCGGTTTCACTTTTTCCACAGCCTGGATTTCCTGACAGGTAGACATGTGTAACCTCGTTTGGATAACGGCTTTGTAACGTTTTCATCTCTTTCATTATTTCATCTACTTCGTTCGAGCGCGGGATGGTTTCATGCGATGGTTTGGGCGGCAATTCACAAAATGTCTGTGGCTCCTGGTTGCGCTTCTTCTCCTTATCCAGTTGAACCTGGATTCTTTGGAGCTCATCCGTTTGGAAACTTGTTTGTGATTTAATTTTTTTAACAGCATTTGTATCCAGTTTTAAGTCATCGAAAGCGTTAATTACATCTTGTATTGAAGTGTGGAAATCTGCATCAGTTACTTTGCTTTGATGGCAGTGGGCATACTTGTTACGAAACTGTCGCAGATCATCAACAGCTTTCTTTACTTTTAGGTCAAGCGTGTTTCTTCCAATACAATCGGAGTAAAGTATCCCGTAAAACAAGCACGTGCAGTCCCATTCTTTTCTGTTTCCATTTCTGATGACTGAAAGTTCTTTTGTTTTCAATTTTCGCTCTTTAATTGGTATCAAACTGTAGAAATCAGCTCCATTTTGCGCAGTGTCGCTCCATTCACCATGTGATATTTTGTAACGAGCATCCCATTGTTGTTTAAACACTGTACGAAGACCATCCGGAATGACGGTAGCTGTCACGTGACAAATTCGAAAATAGTTCAATTGTTCTTTACTGAATTTATCAGAACTTGCCTGAGCCATCTACATAGAGTAAATAATAAAAATATTGTTTTTGAATCATGTTTGTTTTATAATGCTGTCCGGTAGGTGGAAGCGTAGATGAAAAATACATGAAGTCATCTATACTGTTCTAGGCCAGCTCAAGTCGTGCAAAATCGACTATAAAAGGCCTTATTCTCCATGCTTGAGAAAATTAAGTGAACAGCACAACCAAAATGACGACGATAATGTACACAACCTCTGAATTCCCTCAGTGCAAGAAGTCACTTTAATAAAGCAGAAGACAAAGTATAATCAAAGAAATATTACGAACCTTTGACATTTAGTTTCCTTCTGGTCATCATGACGTTTGCTGATCGGATGAGAGGGATATTCAGCCGTGATTTATTGAATTGATTGCTGGAGGCATAAATCATAGTTTCAATCACAACATTAATTTAATTTAATTTGAGGATTAAAACTCTTGTATTTTCAGTACTGAAATGATAAACATTGTCATTATACATACTTAATTCTTAGACCTCTTTTTTAATTTTCAATGTCTTGATCTGACAAAGTGTAAAAAGTACCTCTGTAGATGAACCATGGGGCTGTCATATTCTGTCAAATAAAATAAAAGTACCAGGATTCAAGACACCTAAAAGCTCCCGGAATTCTTGAAAAAAAGCTAGGGCGTTGCTAAATGATTTTTACCACAAAGAGATTACACAACAAACATTGTTTAATTAAATCAGTTCCAATGATAAATACAGAGGAAGATCAATATCGCGGCGCACTTTGTCTTCAGTTCCCGACACTCTAAGGGATTGCACAGAAAATGCCAATTTTCAGAAACTTCAAATGGCACCCTAAAGGATTCCCAGTCATGAATTTTTACCCCTAAGAGATCCGACAAGCATCCCCGGTACTTTTACCACGTAGCATGACCCATCCGACCCCCAGTACCTTGAACACAGGACTAGTCTTATCGTGATAATCTACGCCGCATGTACGTACCGCCGACAATAGGTTTAAAAGAACAGTAAACCTCCATGATGAGAATCTGGTCAAATAGTAGCCAATACTTCGAGTTCCTTTGCGTATAATATGAGCCTGGGTGTAAACTGAGAGCAACAGCGCTATCATCCCCCATATGGAAGAATAATTTAGCTTGTAAAAGAGAATAGGTGATGGGATGCCTGTGTCTAATTACGCATTACAGTGACATTAATCCAGGTAAACAAACACTGCTCGTCTAAAGTTTAACGGGAAATTGTCCAGTTTTCGCTCTTGTTGAGTCTTAAGGTATGCATTTCAGTAGTATATAAAATTATAGCCTTACAACAAGCATAAATAACATTATTTTTGATAAATATTTGACTGTTTGTAAGCCGTTTTTGAACTGAAGCTCCCGTGAAAGGTC